CTCCAGCATCTTTCTGAAGAAAAATGAATGTGGGTCAGAAATGATCATGGGTCCTGCTATTTCTGCTGCAGAGTGTGCTGGTTGAGAGTATCTGTGAGATGAGGAGATGAGTTAGAGCTGGCTGCAGAGCCGCAGTCTTAGCATTTAGGGACGTGGGCAGAGGCAGCAAAATGTCTCACTGTGGTTCCTGGACCTTACGATTGCTTTAGAAAATACCTGAGACCTTGGCTCTACAAGGATTGGAAGGCTTCTGGGTTGCAGCTGGCTACTCCCTATCATGTGACAGCAAGGGCAAGATGTAATTTCCTCCCAGATTGCTGCTGAATATGCATGAAAATCCAGTGTATGAAGAAGCTGGGTGACATCAGCCTGCTCAGACTACAGCAGATCATGGAGAAATGCCATTAAGCTCACTTAGATGGCATCCACATTTGTGGATGGCTAGATCCAGCCTTGCTTCACCAAGGGCTGCTATTGGTGCAGAATTGTGAGCGGTAGCTCTAGTAGTGCTGATTTCAGACACATTACATGAAGTTTTGCTCAGACCTATAGGTCAAAACTTGCAACACCTGACTATGCCCATTTTCTATCCCTACTATTAAAGTAAACCAGGCTAGGGCTTATTCCCTATCCATAAAAGTAAAACAAAGAGGCATGGCTCAGTTTACAACCAGTTTAGTAAATCCTCCTCTCTCGACAGATTGGATGGCCTCATCAAATCCACCAAGTGGTAAAAGGTCCTGATAATGCCCCAATTGTATCCTGATACTATTTGGGACAGTCCTAACTGGCCTGACCAAATTCATGCCCAGACGTTCAAATAGCTGCATTGTTTAGATGGTTTGTTTTCTGTGCTTAGGGCTCTTTTTGTTTCCTTTAGTGGCATAGATACTACCACTGAGTCCTAGCTTCCAGAGCAGAGACAATGTCAAATCCTGAATGGAAGAACCTCCCAGTAAACCTTAGGGGACTGGAGCTGAGCTTCACAGAGCAAAGTCAAGCCCACATGATGTGCTGGTCATGCCTGTGGTCATCATGATGAGCCATGTCATCCTAGGGGTGTTCCCCATCTGTGAAAACTGCCTTTGACTAGCAGAGCTCCTTCAGAAGGTGTGTGAGCTGTGAAAGAACTTACTGAAAAATAGTGCAAAAGGGTTGTCAGGTAGTTAGCTCAATCTTGCCATAGGATCATTCAGGTATGAAAAGACCCTTAAGATCATTGAGTTCAACTATGAACCTGACAGTGCTGAGTCCACTACTAAACCACGTCCCTGAGCGTCATATCTACATGCCTTTTAAATACCTCCAGGGATGGTGACTGAAGAAATTTTTCCTGGTATCCAATGTAAACCTCCCCTGGTGCAACCAGAGGCCATTTCCTGTCACTTGTTACTCGGGAAAAGAGATCAATACCCCCTTATAGAGCATGCTTGCTTCATGTATCAGGGAAGTTGCTGCCTGAGTGTTTATGGAACAGCAAGATAAGAAATTCTAATATCACATGAGGCTGGAACATCTTCCTGTAATCCAGCTAGATCCCACTGCCTTCAACAGGCTTTAAATGTTAGGCTGCAAAGCTGGTTGGTTTGTGAAGCTGGATCATGTTATTTTCCAAATGTCACTGAATACATGTTCTTAGCTGCCAGTCACTGTTGAGAAATTGGGGTTAGATTTTCAGTCTCACCAAAGACTTTGGATTCCGATTTCCTTTCTTCTTCCCTCTGTTTTTTTGAGTGAGACCAAAGTAATGGAGTTTTACTTGTTTATTGTTTCCATTGTAAGTAAATTTCAGAGGGAGACAAAAAGAAAAAAGGAGAGGGAGGGAAATCAAACCTTGATTTGCAGTGCAAAGTGCAAGGGAACCTTCTTCCAAATAACCTTAATGATCCAACAATCAGGCTGATCCCATTTTTAAATGAGACCTGTATTTAAGCAGGAATGAACATGAACAGTTTCACTCAATTTGTTACAAAATTCACTGGACATATGATTCAGGTAGGTTTAAATTTTTTTAAGGGACCTAGAAAACCCGGAGCTACTGCTGCCTTTCTCCTGGAAACTTATTTTCTCTTGGAAGTACTTTGGGTGCCCCCAGAGAGCAATAAGGGTCAAAACAGCAGAGGATAACAAATAAATAAATAAGATACATGAACTCAATATACGTTTTGTGAGCAACTTGTGCTGGAGCGGTAGGGCTTCCAGACAGAGCAGTCTTTGCTCTGAATTCAAAGATAGACCTGGCCCTTTCTTGACTTGTGCTCAAGTCAGCGATGAAACTGAATGGAAAAACAAGAAGTTAGATTAGGATGAAACTAGCTCTTTTTTAAACCATGGCACACAGTAAAGGATTCTTCACAGCAAGGATACATGTATTTTTTATATGTTCCTGTCTGATATATAGTACATGAGTTCCAAGGAGTGATTCACCTTTTTCCTGATTCTCTTGGTAGTGGAAGATTCATCATAACAGCCTCTTTGGACATCATTCCATTTCAGATGTGGGACTTTATTTTCCTCATAATAATCATCATATGATATTCCAAGTGGGGAGTGAGATACCATAAAAACTAGGGGGTAGTACTTGTACTACCAACTGCCTAAAATGCTTTTATGCATCTGCAAAGAGCTTTCAACTTCTATTCATATTACCAGAGTTCTAATACTGTTTATAAATAGTTGTGCCTCACAGCCTTAGCCACTGTCCCTTTGAATTAAGAGCAAAGGCTTGCAATGACTTCAGATGGTGCTTAAGAGGAGAGCCATATGCATCCAATGCATGTAAAACAATCTTATGTGAGATCCAGGGCTTTCCAGGGCCCAAATTGTGAGTCTCTTCTCTGAAACACAAATGCTTATTTACTGTGCGCATGTTAGGCAGTTCCAGATCTGCCACTCAACAGCTGCAATAAGGGGACGCATAATTTTTGTTCTCTGTGCCTTTCAAGCCTTCAGCTTTTAAGGAAGTGCTTTTTAATGAACAGTACTGGTTTTGTATATAAGAAAAATTAAGTTATTTTTCTTCGTGGGTAAAACATGTTAGTTTTCCATAGTACATTCAAATCTCTTTTGTGCTGGCAAGTATCTTGCTGCCAGTACTCCAAGAAAATGCAGTCACAGCGGAGTAAAAATGTTCGTGTAAGTTCTGCATTGTATTTTTTTTCTGCTTTTGTCTCTGTGTGATGTACTCTTACAGAAGGGAGTCGTTAGAAAGTCAATGTAGGACTTTGAAATGAGTCAAACTGCAAATGTTAAGCCAGGTTAGAAAATTCTATACAAACTTTACTGGGAGTTACTGACTGAGGTTTTGGAGGATAGTTTCATTAGTATGACACTTGAATCTAAATTAACCATGTCTCTAATGAAGCTGGTATCACCTGCCAGTTTCTATTGTGTTGAGTGTCTTCCTTCAGACTCTGTTGTTTTTCTACCTCCTGAGATCTGAAGCCTGTTACTCTGTTAAGTATCTCAAGTAGATTGAGATACTTAATTGAGATTACTCAGAGCTTTTTTTTGAGTTATTGTAGTTAGCTATGTCTGTTTTTCTTGTCAGTCACATGTGTAATTTTACCAAGGTGACCTTGGTAAGATTTCCAGCTGTGGAATGGCAATTAAAAAAAGTAATAATCACTTCAAAGACTATTTAGATTCACAGTGTTGCTTTTTGACTTGCAGAGAGTCTGCATAAGATTGGTGTTAGGAATGTAAAATGTTTTGTGAAACAAAAAAAATACTGGATTTTAACCAGTGGGATATTTCTGGTTTTCCAGGGTTGAGCCTAAAACTCATCAGAGACTTAAGAAATTCTTTCATTTCTTGACAAATCCTGACAAATTCAGGACTAAAGCATGGCAAATATGTTTAGAAAATGTACTTGTGACATCCATCATTTACCACATACACAGAATGATGATGGTTTCACCATTTTTTTTCCTTTTGGGAAGGAATTTTTTTTATTCGTTTCACACAAAACCATCTAAAGTAGGAAACATTGAAAGTAAAGTAGGATCCCACTGAAGAAAGCCTATGGAGATCTTACAGCTCCCTCAACTTTTCAGTAAATGGGATAGCTGCATTTAGTATTAGAATATTACTATTACGTTTCTAATATCCTGTCATATAAGTGTTCTGATGGAGAGCTAGACCCCTGAACACATACCCTATTATTCTTAAACCTTGGTTCCTATCACAGGATTCATGTAGATATGCCTTCCAGGCTGTTTTAACCTGAAGTTGTTGGGTTTTTTTGATGGGAGGAGGATGGAATAGTATTTGGGTTTGGCTGGTGTATACTTGTTTTATTTTTTTTTCTTTTTCTTGTTTAACAAACATGTATTTTATTAGATGTATTTAATTTTGAAGACAATTCAAACAGTATAACAGACAACAATGAAGGGAAATATCAGATAATAACAATTGACCATCCAAGGTTCATTGAACACTCAGCAATTGAGTTTTTCCTCAACAAATTATAATAAATCAAATTATGAACAAATTTACAGTCTGGCAAAAGGAACATTTAAGCTGTTCTGATCTAATTAATGTCTGCTATTTCTGTATGCTGGAATTCAGTGTATTTTGCATCAATCCAGCTTCTAGTCCATTACCAGCTTTTCTAGACAGAGGAGAAAACAGTGTCATGTTCAGCTGGCAGAGCTGTGACTGGGGCTAGTTGGTGCCCCTGAAACTTTGCCAGCTGGAATTGTACTGTAGAGAACAGTTTCTATGAGAAAACTGTCAAGGCACAGGTCTGTCAGTATCCAGGGACAGACAAGGAGTTCACGTTGGAGAAATCCAGGTTTGGTAAAGGGAGTGAGTCTGAGGAGTGAGGGTGTTCAGCAACAGAGGGACTTATGGAAGGATAAGAAACGTTTCTTCATGGGAAAAAGATCTCAAATCAAACTGGTTTGGTTTTTTTGTTGGTTTGGTTTGTTTTTTTGTTTGTTTTTGTTTGTTTGTTTGTTTTTCTTTTCTTTTGTAGTAACATTTCTTCATTCAGTGAGTGAAATTCTGTTTAGTTACTTGGGATGGAAGATCTTATGAGCTCATGATCTCTTCCTTGAAACATGAAGGTATGTTTTTCTGCTAGCTTTCTAAGCAAACTCTTGCTTCACTCTTACATAAGAGAGGTGTTAGCACTGCCTAATCACTCTTGTATCAGCTGCTCCCTTACCAAAAGAGGGGAAAATAGGACTGTGCCTTCATTGATTTACTCTTCTCTGTGGGAATTAGTAATATATACCATTCAATGCTTTTAAATTTCTTTTAGAAGCAATCAAGAAGTACTAGAAAAATTTTCTTCCTTGTTTCCCTGCACTTAAAACCTCTCAGAGGGAGCCTTGGAGCTATAGCTTGGTGATGTATCCCAGAGCTTTCCCTAAATTAAGATAAATTAGAATTAGACAGGAGGTTGGTATGGCCTGCTAGAGACTGTTCATTCAGAGAATGAGAGTGATTGAGATAATGAACCTTTGTGTATCATAAATTCATCAAGAACATCGTTTTGCCCTTTTATGGAATTTTTGCTGCTTTTGTTTCTCATCAGTGGCCAGAACTCAATGCAGAAAAATGACTGTGAGCGTGAACAAAGCTGATAAAACTAATTTGCCTTAGTTTTGTGAAAAATCATAATAAACTCAGCTTGCATTTAATTGGTAATTTGGATAAAGTTTCTTCACAAACCTATTTAGCTCTTCCTAATCAATGCGTAATTTTTGGGCAAGCAGATTATCACTGAAGAAGAGCTGTACCTGCTGATTTCCTTCCTGCGATGGTGCAACTGATACTTTTACACTTCACCAAGTAGCTTTTTGGGAGGGAGAGGACGAGTTTGATCTTTTAGTAAAGGAGATGTATCTGTTTCTTATGTGTTTAGATAAATAAAAGATGGTGTATCAGTGTGGTAGGCAAAGGAATGTGTCTTCTTTTATGAGGTTATTTAGGGAACAAGGGTAAAAGGAAGAAAAAGTCTTGCAAAAGAGCTGCAATAAGATTATATCTGCAAAAATAGATACCTGTCCCAACTGCAGATTTTTTCCTTCCAAAGTTTTTGTAATGAATGCCTCTATGTGGATTGGCAGTGGAGTAGGACTGTTAACATTTTAAGCTCTAGAAGGGTGTGATTCAAGAAACAGGCTGCCTTAGTTCTGGCAAAGCTTACCCTTGTTTTATGTATCAGAAAAAAAAAAAGCAGCGCACTCCTGCTTATTGAAACGCTTCTGTTTGTCAGACTCTTCTGGGAGTCTGCAGACCCCATCCTGTTTGCCTGCCTGCACCCACACAAGAAGAAGCAGATTCCTGAGAGCACTGTACAGGATTTTCTCTGAAAACTTTTGCTACGAAATGATGGTTTAGTTTGTTATCCAGAAATTGCAAAAGTAGGTTTTTGTGTTTGATTACTACTATGGTTTGCACTAGAACTTGGGTCCACAGAAAATGATTAAAGTGCGTGTTTGGAGTTTGTTATATTTTTGCTCGGAAACTTCAAGTTAATACATGGAGTAAACCAATTATTGGTTTTGAGGCTCTTGTTTTACTGATGAGAATGCAAAACCTCTTGAAAAAACAGACTTATTTAGCTTTCAAATTGAGAAAGCTACTGCAGAGATTGGGATTTGCATCTAGTACTTAAGTGGTAGAATTTGCTTCCAGAGTCCTGAGTCTGTTGATTACTAATACCTACTTGCAGTTCTACTAAAACCTCCTTAGCAGTATGAGTGAGTGTATTTGTTTCTGCTCTAGGATCTTAGAATACAAAGGGTTGAAATTTGTTTTTCTCCTTAAATTATGATTAAAATATGGTATCTTCTAAAACCAGGAAATCGTAGTTTTTCCTCTCAGTCAGAGAGCTTTTTTGCCTTTGATTTTTTTGACAGTTTATTTTTCCTTTTACTTGCAATTCTTGCTACTTTCTATCAGCTGTATGGCCAGCTGAGAAAAAAGCTTTCCTGAGTAGCTTTGCTTTTGTTTTCTGGTGGGCTAGCATCAGCTGATAGAAAACTCAGAACTCACCTGTGTTTTGTAATAATTTTACACCACCATACCTCTGTATAGTGAGAAATTATTTTTTTTTCTCCTCTAGGAAGTGAGCTTTCTTTCCTCTTGCTCATATCTGAACTCTGATGACACTGTTTTAGGACCTTTTCTGCCCATTTACTTACCTTCTCTGTTTTCCCAATGCATCAAAGAAAATTGTTTGTTTCCATATTACAAAGTTAGCAGATTATTCAGAGGTGGTGGTGGTTGGTTTTTTTTTTTTTTTTAGTGTGTGCTGTGTCCAGTTTATAAACAACTAAAAAACCCAAGCCCAGGAAAACACAGCATACCTGACTCCTTAATGGTTCCTTGAATTCTTAATGGTTCCTTGAATTCTTCTTTGCTTACTGTTACTTTGTAACACCTGCCAGAAAAGGTTTTCATCTTTGTGCTTCTCTTCATGACACTGTGATCATGTTCTTCTGCTTCTGTTTATGGTACCGTACCTCACTTTTCCATTAAGGGTGAAAAGGAGACATGATTTGGCAGTTAATGCAGCATACTAATACTTGAGAAAAAATGTTTCCTTAATCTACAGTAAATCTCCAACATAGAATCATAGAATACAACATGTTCGAAGAGACCCACCAGGATCCTTGAGTCCAACTCCCAGCCCTGCACGGGACACCCCAAGAATCACATGATGTGCCTGAGAGTATCATCCAAATGCCTCTTGAACTCTGTCAGGCTTGGTGCTGTGACCACTTCCCCGGGGAGCCTGTTCCAGCACCCAACTACTCTCCATGTGAAAAACCTTTTCCTGATATCCAACCTAAACCTCGCCTAACTCAGCTTCATGCCATTTCCTCTGATCCCATCACTTGGCAAATCAAATATACTTTTCCTATATTTAGGAAGAATCTTGTGTAGATATTTTTATGACTTTGTGAGTTCCACCTCAGCATATTCCTTTGGACTCAATGATCTTATAAGTCTTTTCCAAACAAAAAAATTCTATAATTTAAAAATGTACCTTTGGCAGCATACAGTGGTTGCACAAGTGGTACAGAACAATAGAAGTGAAAGCAATTAAAATGTAAATATGGCCTTTATTTCTTACATTTCAGTTCAAAGTAAAACCTTTTGAATTATTAAACAAATTCATGTTAGCTCCCTTTTATGTATGTTCTGTCCTCCACTGCTGGATAGAGAAACTGAGGTAGATGAATTTTTGGTGTGTTGCTATGAATGTTGCTTCTGCTTACAATGATTTGAGGGCAGAGTTTATTGGTTGTTGTTATTATTATCATCATTGGCATTTCTTTGTTTCAGTTGTCTGTGCATCTCTTGATGTTACTTCATTAGTACTGCTTAGAGTGTGCTGAAACAGGAATTCCCATTGCATGGAAAATCTGTTAGTTTGATTTCATGGACATAGTTTCTTAGCAGAATGAAAAATATCCTTTGAAAACAGGAAATCTGAAATGGTATTTAGAAAAAATTCAAGTCATTTGTTGCCTTTTTTCCCAAGGATTGTAGAGCTGGTCAAAGCAGCCTGCAAGGGAGCAGGGCAGCCTAGAGAGACTGATCCTTTCAGCTTCCCAAGAGAACACTAAGATGCACTGAGCTTCTTCCTATTGATTCTTCTTTTAATAACACAGGAAACGGAAACCTGATTTAATCTTTTAAATATGGAAGACTTCACAATATCTGTCTCAACCTGTCTTTTTGGAGAAGTCTGTCAAGTTGCAGTGCTAGCAGTAAGAGGACTATCAGTTTTGAACAAATTGCAATTCTGAATATTTTCTGCAGTGAGTGACTGTAGAAAAGCATGCAACATAAGTCATTAAGGTTGTTAGACTTGAAACCCTTGTCCAATGTGCAGTGAGAGAAAACAAGAGGGGTGGTTATTTTTCAATTGCAGAGGGTAGCTTTGCCTTCTACTTTTAGCTCACCCATCCTTTGCAACTTCTGGTGCCGCATAGTTGGGGGATCTCAGAAGCTAGTTTAGGAGGCTGACACTACTTTCATCCAAACAGCAATTACAAAAATATGCTAGGAGTATGAGGGATATCATCGGTTCATCAAGTACACTGCTTGCAGCACCTCAAGTTACAGAAAGCTTTAGTGGAACAGTGTCTTTTCACACATTTTTGTCTGTCTTCACATTTTTTTTTAAGGGTGGGCCTTGGGCTAAACAAATTTGATTCCTTCTGTAGAAGGAAAGATTGCAGAAGTGAAAAGCCCCAGCTGAAGTGGGTAGTGTGTGACAATTTCATCCTTCTAGTCTATTGTTTTATGATGTGACTGTCTTTAATAACAGGTCTTCAGAGACTCATAACCCTTTGTGTGATTTACTGTGATTATCTTGCAAGACACCTGTGCATGGTATTAATTAAGACCCAAGAAGACAGTTTAATAACACTGAAAAATTCCATTTGACAAAAGGTAGTGCAATGGAAACCAGCAAACCCTCATCCGAAAGTTCTTCCAGAATTGGATTATTACTTTTTTTCTCGAGAGTTTGAAGCAATATGGCATCTTAAAGATAAACTTACAGGTTCAATTGGCTGCTTAGATGTACAATCATGCATTTTTGTCCACTTGAATTAAATACACCTGAAGGAATGAGTTTATTTTCTGCATCCTTTCCAGCACACGATAGAAATAAACAGCATGGTCCTAGCAACATAGCATGCTAGCTATTAATCCACTAAGTACCCTATTAGTACCTGTCACTTTGGATTAGCAGTGAGTTTTTTATGTTCATCATGTATTTAAGTATACTGACTTTTGGATGGATTAAATCTCTCTTATTCAACTAATTCCCCAAAAGCATCCATCTGGAGAACTTTATGCCTTAGAAGTCTGTTTCTCAGCAATAAGTCCAATAATATGGCTTTATCATCCCAGAGAGTCACTCAGGATGAGGTAATGGGAATAATAATTGGTTTATAGAGTTTTAAGTTTTTGCTGCTAGAAACCTGCTCATACATAAATCAAAGACAGATATTTCATTTCTATCAAGCATTTAAATTGTGTGGTGATTGATTAAATGTCAGGCAACCTAATAATTAGTGTATCTGAGTATCATTTAGAATGTAAACTCCCTGGGTGGGGATTTTTCTTCTTCCTTCTCTCTGTATAATCACCATCTCAAGTCTCACAGTGCATGATTTGGGCTCTTTAACTGCTGTCAAAAAAAGAAATAATAATGTCTGTAAAACTCCCCAACCTAATACCACATTCTCTAGCGATAATCTAATCACTACATCTCTGAGGCATGTCACTGTGCTATTTTGGAATGGTGCTTAAAAGGGGCAACTTGTGCTTTTATGCTGTTATTTTTTCTACCCCTTCAGACCGTTGCACATATGAAGTACATCTTGCCAAGGCTGACTGTTTGTACTGTCTCCTCAGCCATGTTACTCTCAACAACTTATTTTAATTATCAAAGTCAGTAATTTTTTTAATTGAGAGGAGTGGAGTGTAGATGACAGACATAAAATTAATACACAGCTCAAAACTGTTAACTTTATAACACTGTCAATCAATTTTCTCTTCCCAGAGGAAACTAGAACAGACCTATAGGCTCAAGCCCTGGTTTTGTGAAAAAAAAAAAAAAAAAAAAAAGACAAGAAGGACTGTACAAGTGAGGACAATGCAACTACTGTGCTATGCAGCAATCTGTGAATGAAAAATGGGGAAGCTCATGGGCTGTTTGTTTAGCTCTTGGTCTCACTGCTGTGTCTGAAGCTATTGGAATGGATTTTGATAGTATTTCCATTAGCAGTCTCAGTAAGAGATATCCACTGATCGATTTTCTTTGATCAGCATCAAAGAGCTATTTCGTAACATTTTCTCACAAAAATCTCTGTAATTCTGGGGAGCCAGAATCTCCACAGCAAAGTGAAGTTTTACTGCAAAATGTGGATTTATTAAGTTTGAAACGGCTGGCAGTTACTGAAATGTTGGTGTATCAAAAGCAATTCATTGATGATCTTGGACCTTTGGCAAGGAACCTTTGTGTGGATAATAATCGATACCAGGAAGAATTTCTGAACACCTTCCTCCCTGTCCAATATTCTTTTAGTTGCAGTGGAAAGTCCTGGTGTTTGTTTTGTGATTGGAATTAGTGGGAACAGGAAAATCCATTTTGTTAATCAATTTCAAGTTCCTAGGGAGTTTCTACTTCATTCAATTTTTTGTTGTTGTTGTTGAGTTTTAAGAGTTAACAAAATTGAAACAGTATTTTGTTGAAAATACAGTTTCCAGAGAATCAGCAGCCATGATTTTGGACCACTTGATATACTAGCAGATCCAGCGGTGGGGTGAGAGCCTTGCACTGGAGATGTTTTCTGGGTTTGTCTTCTGCTCTGGTGTGCCAAAGTCTGAAACACAATCTCTGTTGTCACTTTGCAGACCCCATGTACCTTGCAGCAAAGCAAGGTTCCTTCACTGTGAGCCTTCTGGCCAGCAATAAACCCCATGCTTGTGATAGACTAATGATTGCATTCCCCAAATTAGTTGTAAAACCTGATCTAATTTAATTAAGTGATTAAATTTTGTCAGTAACTTGAAGGCTTAAGGAGACTGAAGAAAAGAAACACCTGGTGTTTTCAGATTTCCTTCACAATATCTCCATGTATTGTTTTGTTGCTGTTTATGTGATTGGTATGTCTTCATCAATGACATGCTTTGGGTTACAAGTTTGAGGATGTTCAGAATTTCTGTGTATCAAACAGGCCTTTTCTCTCCTACCTGATTTATGCAATTCTTTATCATTTACCCATTCTAGTCAAGATACTGTATAAACATGTAAATGCTGCAATTTGGGGAATAACTTAGTACATATGTTTTCTCAACCTTCAGGAAAATAGGTTTTCAGCCAATCTGAAAACTAATTGTCCCTCTAAAATGTGACAAATGCAATATATTCCTCTGTATGCAGCCTGAATTTCTGCCATGTAGCTGTCTTTTTTCGTTAGGGTAGTGACAATTTTACGATTGCTTAGCACAAATGCTCAATTTAAATTTTAGTTTTTACAGAGAAAAATAATATATTAGAACAGACCATCCTTTCTTAGACTTGTGTGCCATGTGCTTTTCATGTCACTGTTTATATTCTATTGTTCTGCCTATATGCTGTTCTTACAGGTTACTTGGAAGTTGTGAACTTTATGGTAGAGAGCGAGGCTGGGGCTTTTAAACTTGCTTAAAGACAAAAATAGCCCAGTGAATGGTGCACTGCATCAGAGGTCCGGGATGTGTTTTCCTCTAGTGCTTTCTCTACTCTATAGTTTGGAAGCTACATATGTCTTTACTTTCTAATGTGTTTATGAAATGCCTAGTACCACAGACAGTAGAATACATAGAAGTCATTGGAATGGGACACTGTTCAAGTTAGCTTGAGGTTTCACAGTTTCTTGTCTGAGTATACAAATATCTAGCCTCACATCTGGGACAAGTTTCAGCTTGTATTTCAAGCTCGGTCCAAAGCATGCATCAGGAGAGATGTTCAATAGTGGTTCAATTTTAAGTGTCTTAAAAATCTGCCTGGCATTTGGAATGGATTTGAGAACCATGAACAAGATTCCTGGGTTGCCTGAAGTGAAATAACTCGGTGACAGTTTTTTGTTATTTATATGACTTTCTGGTACAGGAGCAGGGTACCTTGGGATGGTAAACATAATCCGTACCTCCCTGTGCTGTCTGGGACTACCCTGGGAGTCTTCAACAGCACAGCTTCAACTGTCAGAGGAAGGTTTTGGGTGGAAGAGTTCGGCAGTGAGAGATCCGAGGGACCTCCTGGGGACTACTGGACTAGGCCCCAGTCAAGTAGTCAATTTTATTTTAATCTAGTTTACAGAATTATGTAACTGTACTGAGTCCTTCTTCATGGTGCCAAAGTCCTTTCTTTGATGAAATTCCAGGTGAGGTCCAAGTCTCCTGCTTCCCATGTGTTGTGATCAACTCTATTCTCTCAAGGACCATACCCTCACTGTTTCTACTTTCATGATCTGCTTCAGAAGAGAATTTCATGAAGTTGGATTATTAAAGTTTCTTTCTATCACTCACCTTGTACTCAGACCTGTAGATCTAACTCTGTAGAAACCTGCAGAAATATTTTAAGAGTTGTATATGTCTGGTTGCAGAAGTGAGGACAAGAGGAATGTTCCCAGCACATGTGAGCACAATTCATTTCTCCCCAGCAATCAGCTGTGTAATCTGGACATAACCCAGTTAATATTCCCTGATTTGGCACCTCCTATTCTGTTTTTCCATTAACTCTCTAAAATGTAATTATCTATCTGATCCTTTGTTTAGTCCCAAAACAGCTTTAGAAAGAGTTGTCTTGTGTTTTTTGTCTGAGTTGCCATGACTGGTTGTTTCAGAGCTTATACAGAATTCCACAGAGAAGAAATGGACTTAACTGGACTCCTGGCATCAGCGAGATACTTGTGTGTTTCAAGGATTCATTTACAAATGCAGTGGGGACTGTTCTGGAAGCTATTCTAATCAAAACAAGATTGACATGCATGAGAAACTTGTGGGAAATATGAATGGGAAGACATGAGATGGTCTCTTTACACATCAGTTGCAGTTACGATCCTTTCTGTCACACAGCTTGTTATTTATTTCTCTTCTGCCAGCATTGCATGTTTAAATTCCAGCAGGGCAAAGGGATTATGATTTGTGCAAGTATGGAGAGGAGTATCTGGACTGTGAGTAAAGTAATTTGATAAAGGAAGATGGCGGGTAGCTGGGTACGGTGAGTATCCTGTTGGATTTGGTCAGAGATCTCTGTCATTGCTGGAGCAAGGCAGACATCATGACAAGAGTAGTCACAGTACACAGGGAGATTAAGTTTTTGTTTTGTACATATATTGGGTGTTTGAGTGAGGGTTTTTCTTTGTTTGTTTGTTTTCTCAGCTGCAAAATGATTATCCTGGATTAAAATTACCCTGGAGAAGTGTTAACCTGTAAGAGAAGAAGTTTCACAGATCAAGAATTGAAAGATGCCTGTGCTGCCGTTTCAAGTTCACATGCTGCATGCATGTTTCATAGCACAGGTAAGCAACACTGTTACTGAGTCAGACTGATGGTTCAGTGGCTTTTGGTCTGGTGTGGGTGGAATTGGCCCCCTATCACTGTAAGATGTGGACACTATAAAACTATTCCTTCAGCTCTCCCACTTGCCATAACTGCCTGGATCTCTTGTCCTTGTTCTGGCTGCTTTATGCTGTCTCTGTTAAAAGGTCAAAGGATCACCAAGGTTTTCTGATAGGTCGAGAAATCCACTGAGCAAGCCAGATCCAAGGATTGTCCCTCAGTTCCTTGTGTCAAAGGAATAGCATTCTGTGTGCTGCAGAAACTCTGGGAAATCCCTGTGCTCGTGGGGAAGTGCAGAGCATTGGCCACTCTCTCACCCTGAAGACTGTTTGCTGACGTTGGAGGCCTCTCCTTCCTCTAGGACAGCACTGGAGGGAGGATAAAGCTACTTGAATTTCCTCCAGCTTGAGCTCATTATTTGCATTTTATGTGCTGCCAGAGGTACTGCTTTTCAGTGAGTTAATAGTTCATGTCATCTTAAAAGCAGGAGACAGGCTCCCAGCTCATAGAAGCAGCTTTAAAAACAGTTGTCATTATTTGTAGAGCAACAATGTGCACCAGTTCCTGGCCTGTTGCACTGGGGCTCTGTGGCACCAGGACATACATCTCTGCTGCCTGTTCTGCCCCTTTCTGTGTTCCTTTCTTTGACCTGTTGGCTTTTTAGAACTGGAGCACACTCTCAATGTGTGAGCAAAGCTCTGCCATAGTGACACGCTTATTAGTACTGGGATCTCTAGGTACTATTACCATAAAAAATATTTCTGCATGTGCTCCTTTCAACCTGGTCACTTAGAAAGCTCCAAGCCCATTTTTCCTCCTTTTTAATAAAAATCACTAAATAAAAATCACACTACACCAGTATTGTAGCAGCAGGAACAACAATCTCACTCCACCAAGACCCGATCTTTTGTTGCAGAAAAACAGTGAATTTGTTATCAAAACTGCAAATATTTGATGGCTGTAATAGCTACACTGAAGGAATTGACTACACTAATAATGTTTTGTTCTTTCTCCTCAGTTTTTCTAAAACAAAAGAAAATGAGAATACCGGTCTTCATGCACACACATATCACCCTCTCCTCGCCCCACAAAATGAAGGAAAAAAAAAAAAAAAAAAGAAGAAAAGAGAAAAGTCTAGGGCAGAGACAGGAAAGAAGATTTGTTAGGAAACTCTGAAAAACACCAAAGAAGAATGACGAAAGCTAATTGAAAGTTTCCCATACAGTATACTAAATAATATAGCATAGATCAGCAAGAAGGCAGCATAACCTTTCCTGTCCTCAGACTAACTCATCTTACATCAGCCAGAGAGGGATTACACCAGGCACTTTATACCAGAAGGGTGATGGACAGCCTGACAAGACAGCAATTTCCTCTTTTTGGAGTAACTGGAGTAGTTTTATACAAGGTACCTCTCAATCTTTCTGCAGATGCATGTTTGTAAAAATCCAGTCTAAATTTAAGCAATGCCTTTGTTATAAAGTTAAAAAAATATTTCAAGATCTGGAACATCCAGGTACTTGCTAGCTGCATCCAGCAGACAGAGAAGGGAAAGTGCTTTTCCTTTCATCCGAACACATTCACTAATTGATTATAATGTCAGATTTTAAGAACAGAAACAGACTGTGGCAAGGAAGGACTAATTCATTAGCTGTTTTCACTAGTGCTCAAGATTCTGAAGTACCACCTTAATAAATAACAACTAAAGTGTCCTTTAGTTGTGAGATTTCATACTATTTTGTTGTGGTTTAACCCCAGCTGGCAACCAAACCCCACACTGCTGCTTGTTCACTGCCCCCTGCTCCAGTGGGATGAAGGAGAAAATCAGAAGAGTATAAGTGAGAAAACTTGTGGGTTGAGATAAAGATGGTTAAATAGGTAAAGCACACACAAAACAAGGAATTCATTCACTGCTTCCCATGGGCAGGTAGGTGTTCAACCATCTCCAGGAAGGCAGGGCTCCATCATGTCTAACAGTTACTTGGGAAGACAAATTCCATCACTCCAAATGTACCTTCTTTCTTCTGTCAGTTTGTGCTGAGCAAACTCCATACAGTGTGAAATATCCCTTGGGTCAAGTGGGGTCAGCTGTCCTGTCTGTGACCCCTCACAACTCCTTGTGCACCCTTGGTAGCCTCACTGGTGGGGTGGGATGAGAAGTAGAAAAGATCTTGTTGCTGTGTAAGGCCTGCTCAGCAGTGACCAAAATACCCCTGTATCATCAATACTGTTTCCAGCACAAATCCTGAACATGGCCCCATACCAGCTACTGTGAAGAAATTAAGTCTATCCTAGCCAAAGCCAGAACACGTTTTCTTTAGATTCTTCAGAAAAAGGCTGCAAATCCCATTTAATGTTGTTTTAGGAAAAAATTACAGTATAATGTAGTAACCCGGGTACACGGAAACAACTGCTGAGTGGAGATACATTTATTACAGTTAAGTACTGAGTTAATTTACTTTTTTCTCTTGGTTATACAAACCTACGAAACCTCTGGACGTTGTAGTGCAGGAAAAAAGTAACATTAAATCATCATAAAATCTGTACTCAAATGATGTACAATTCTGTGTTTTAACACAATCTGCTACACTATGGTCTGGTCCTGACTGGGAGTTTTGGGATGCTAACTCAATCTTAATGCATGATAATAGTAATACATGCCTTTCTGAGGCACCAGTGCCATTTTAATTTTCTGAATATAGATCAAATAACACTGGGTAAAATAACAGGTACATTTTATTTCTTAGATATGTTTTCCAACAGAATATGGAGTCATTGTATGCATCTGAAAAACCTAATGTTTATTTTAAAAGGTTGTATTTTCTTTTTGAGATTTTTAAGGAAGAAAATTAGTGGTAATTCCAAATATTGACAAGTAATTTCTGTCAAATATAAGAGATTTAAACTTCAGTGACCAAAATCATAACAATGAATTTAAACTTATTTTTTTGTTCTAAAACAACATTTACAGTTTAGAATGCTCTGAATGAACACAAGTCTTAATCTCTAAATTTTTCCACAGAATTTTTTTTTCATGTACTGCTTTTCCCCCCGTTCTCCTATTTAAACATATTTAAAAGAAATATTTTAAATACTTAACTTTATTTTAACCTGACATATTTTGATTAATAACAATTTCCATTGCAATAAACAGGAAAGTTCCCTGGCAGACTGCACCTATGAATCAATGTTAGACAGTAGTGTGCCTACCCTTGAAGCTGTAAGCATCCTGGAAGTCCAACCCAGAAGGACATTTTTTGCCAGGTAGGCACATAGCAGGATCTTCACTGTTGAAAAATCAAATGCCCATAATTTTTTCTCACTTTAGCTCATTTGTGTTTCAAATGGCAGCAAGTAGAATCTCAGTCCTCTGCAGAAAATTGAAATTATACAGCAATTAATGAAGTTTTAAGCTCCCAAATCAAAATGTTTATTTCTAGGAAGGGCAAGTACTGACCAAATAGCAAAACACGTACATTTAGTGTAAAGGACCATGTGGAAAATGAGCCTTTCCAATCAGACTTGTCAGTGCCATAGCTCTCATGAACAATAGAGATGCTCCTGTCTAATCTTCCAAGATCTATATTTGTCACATGCTTATTTCTGGTAGTATTTCGATAATTTTGTACTTTGTATGCTTATGCACATTATTGTTGTCTCTAGTGCTCATATGATTCCCATTTCGACACAGATTTCTGGGAATCTAAATCATGGTTCAGTTACCAAGGCTACATCTTCTAGCCTTGAAATGACAGGAATGAAGATTTCACAGAACTCATTAAATGTTTGCATGGTTGAAAGAGTATGAACCAAACATGCTTTGCAAAGAGAATTGTTTGATTTTTTTCCCATTAAGGTTTTTAGGAACATTTTATTCTCTTCCAAGAATCCTTACTGATGAGGACAGGGAAAAAAAAAAAACATAGCTCAAAGTGACTCTACTCTGCTTCACTGAAGTCTGACAATCTTGTGTCTGAGGTTTCCTTCCTGAATACTGTTTTCCCATTTTGCATTTACTCATCTCACTGAAAAGTTACTTTTGAAATTTGAAGTGACTTCAACAGGAGTCAGTGCACTAAAGCTGGCCATTTTTAAGACTTCCCACTCACTGCTAGATGATATTTAACTATCACAATGTGCCTCCTATCACTGCAAGTCATGAAGATACATGTAGAGAATGACCTGGCTCAAGAAGGGGCATGGAGAAGTCTATCATCATCACAGACAATAAGAAATCACTCTGGAGCTCCAAAACCAAGGGCTCCAGCGTGATTCTTTTGTAGCCAAATTGGGCTATATGGCTCTCACGGTCAAACACACTTGCATTTCTTGAGGCATAATTCTTTCATTCTGTAGTGTGAGCAGCAAGGGAGTTCCTCACTACCTTACCACCCAGGAATTCCTGACACTAGGTCTGTGTTCTTTGCTTTGCTCCTCTGGCCCGGGGAGAAAAAGGACAGGATCTAAAAATGCTACCATCTCCTGCCAATCTAAGGTACATAGGCAGGTAGGAAAAAAAAAAGTTGGTTTGTTCAGTGGGGATTTTTTGGGATTTTTTATTGGTTGATTGTTTGGGTTTTTTGCTTTGGTTTGGTTTGGTTTTTTGTTTTGTTTGGTTTGGGTTTTTATTTTTTTTGAGGTTTTTTTATGTGCATCATATGTGTACTTGTTTGGTTTTGGGTGACATTCTCAAAGGCTTGTAGTGACATTTGGGCTTACACTTACCTTGATAGCCAGTGGGAAACAACTGAGCATATATTTGCTGCAGCTGTCTAAGAAAAAGATCTTTTATTATTTTGTGTTAATTAAACATGCTAAGCGTGATGCAGTTGGTATAACTCATATGTCCTTTACATTTCCCATCAGTGCTCTGCAACAGAGACACTTTTCTCTGTGCATTGGTGTAGGGAGGCTGAGGAAGAAGAGTGCAGGGACTTCTTGTCTCCTGGAGCCCAGGGGAAGAGGTGTGACAGCACAAACTGCACATGTGCACCACAGCAACCCAGGGCCTAGCTTGGTAAGTTGTGTATGCACTACAGCTTTGGCAGAAAATTGGAGCAGATGTCAGGATGAAGATGAGTGAGATACTGGACTCCAATCTGTATGAGTCAAGGCAAAATACTTCATCCCAATGACTTGGGGGACTTGAATGCAGCCTTTGGCACCTGAGACTGGTATCCTCAGGCTGTATAGAGTGCAAAGAGGTTGCTTCCTACATGAGCAAAATTATGCGTAACATATACAGGCCCCAAAGTCTTCTGTTGTGTCTGGTACCAGGGAGGCTCAATACTCAGAGCTTTTGGCTTCCTCTGTCTCTTGTTCTTGTTAGGATTTTTAGGATATCAGTGTCACTGATGTAACAGGAATTAGCTGCAGGTTAGAAAGACCCTAACAACTCATATTTGATAAATTGCAGTTTTCTTATGATGTGGCGTATCTTACCGTGCAATGAAATACCTCCCTTATTGGTCTACTAGTCATTAAATAAGTCCTCCAACTCATTTTATGTCTTTCTGTTGCCAACTTGGAGACTTATAGTGCTTTCTCAGTTAAATCATCATCTCCTAATGATCCAACTGAATTTTTATGTCCAGCCTATCCCACAGGAGACTTTTATATACACTGTAATGATACTGTTTGCTGGGCACTGGCAGTTAAGTGTTCTAGCACCTCATTTTACAGCCTTTGATACATTTCTGAGAAAGAAAGCACTTGGACTATTTATGAGAAATCAGAATGGCAGTTGTGGTAAGACTGCAAAGACAAAGCACATTCTTAGCTTTATTTAAATACTCCAAGCTTTACCCAAAATGAAAAGTCATCTCTGTATTGACTGGGCTTCATCTGCCTTGCCACTGCTATTGCTGCATTACTGATTCCATTATTGCAATCAGCATAACTGAAGGGACTGGAGGTTTGGTACTGGCAACTGTATGGCACAACATGAGGGAACCTGGAGGGTTTCTGACCATGTCCTTTAGCTTGAGGTCTCCCACAACCTACCTGTTGTACTTTTTGTACTGCATTAAGTAAACTAAAACAACCAAATGAGTCATTTTAGGTAGTTTGTTTTTTGAAAAACATGGTGTTTCTGTACTGTCAAAACAGAAATGTACATGGAAACAATCCCCACACAGTTTGAATATTTTCAGAATAAAACATTGTGCCATTGCATATCAAAATCTTTTAATTTCAGCTTAAATTTTCATTTATTTAGTTTTAAATTTAAAAAGTAAACAAATCAAGTTTGGGATGAAGCACAGTATTTTCATACTTTTTCCATTAACTGTTGAGGAGAAATATTTTTTTGTGCAAAACTAATAGGTTTTTTAGGATCAGCATCTTTCTGCACATGCTTGCACAAACCAACATTTTCAGAGGTTTCCAGTCCAGTTACTCAACCAAAAAAATCAATTTCTAGCTGAGCCCTAGCTAGGAGGCAAACTAGTTGAGGTGAGGGCAGCTTTCATAGCTTTGCTTGTTTCTTTCTCTTCTTGCTCAAATTCTGGCTTGCACCTCGGGGCCAGGTACCTGCTGTGGGAGGCACTGCTGGGTATCTCCTCCTTCTGGCAGGGGGGACATCCTTCTGTGGCTGCTGAATTGTTTATCAGACTTTCTTTCTCCCGTTGTTCCCCCTAACACAGGAGTTATGAATTCATCCCCCCTGCCACAAAGCAGTCAAGGACAAGACCACCTACATGACCTAGTTGGGAGGTGTCAGTGCAACTGTTTCGGGGCAAGTGACCCAAGTACATCCTGTGTTTTTTGCATGTGGAGGGTTGGGTTGCAAAAAGTTAAGAACGGGAGGCTGAGGTGCAGTAGGTTGAATGTCTCTGTGCTGCTTGTTGGGGCAATAACATTTCTCTCTGCTGTGACAGTCCCTGCCAGCCTGGTGCACAGACTGGCTTTTTTCCTGAGTTTTATACCAGGATTCCACAGCTCCTGTATTCAGCTGGTAACATTTTTCTTACAATTACGTGTTATAAACCTGTAAGTTGTAGTCCAAAACAGGGAGATAATGTTGTGCCTCTTTTTTATTTCAGATGTCCCTCTTTCGTTGGTGAGGGATGTGCTATGCAAAAAGATTTTTTTTTTCAACGTTTTTATTTAAAATCATTGACATGGCTCACTTCTTCTGAATGTTTCTTCTTTCTGAGCACTAAGGTCATTGTACAAGCTAGATTTCTCTTTTGAAGGCTGAATTCCTGCACTGCAATGCAATTCAGTATGCCTATAATTTTTAAGATATACTGAGGTATTATGGAATAAGATATTAACTGAGGAAGATGGCAGAGTTTGAGGGAGCCATGTTTTGTTTTTCTGGACAGGAAAGTGTGTGCTATGTGCATGTAAAACAGTAGTAATTGGTGTTCTCTGCAAGCAGCAGGATTAAGATTTCTGTGAATGATTTAAATTTCTTTTTAAAACTCATTATTTTCCCTTTCCTTGTGTTATACTTGCTGTCTTCATTTACTTGGTAGAGTTCCTTGGTGTTTTGAGAAATGCTGTGTAAATAATAAGCTAATGATTCCTATTCATCTGCTCTTGTTCATGCTGTTTGAGATCATTAGGCGGACACTGGGCCCCCTCCTATCCGTGTCAAATTGCTGTGTGATTTCTAAATAATGATTTTGTGTCATATAACTTAAGTTAACTGAAACTCCTGGACTGAAAATATAATACTGATACTTTGTATTTGGTACTGTAAACATGTGTAATGAAGGGCTGTCTTATGTAGTGCAGTCTCTCTCACACTGGATTTGCAGGTCTTAGATGATTTCCAGTCACCATATTACAACATCCAGGATGAGATTCATACAGCATCAGTGTCACGCTAGTCCCTATTAAAATCAAAGGGAGTTTTCCGCTGGCTGCAATTAAAACAGCTAGGCAGCACTGAGCCATAAGGATAGAGGCACATCTTTCCAATTACAGGTAACTCAATCAAACCCCTTTGTATTCTTGTTTATTTACTTAATGAATGGATATCACACGAGGGTATGTGGTATCCCCCCACTAAGGGAAAGAGCAAAGCAAGTCAAATTGATAATCTCCTGTCACTGCTTGCAGTGGCACAGCGGTTTCTATTTATTGGCAGGAGAGGAATGTTTGGGGATGTGAAGTTATACCATTACAAAATATCCTTTCAACTCTATCGAAGCAATTCATTAAGTTGAGACCCTAAGTCATAATTTAATAACTCTAACCCAGAAACAACCAGAGGAGCCTACTCTGAGGCTTGCATTTATGTTTCTCCATCTGGA